TCTCTAGCCCATTTTCGTTCTTTCTATAGGTAGTCATTTGGGGGTATTTGGTCCCTTACCTACAACGTTACCCTTGAAAAATTGTTAAGTTCTTTTCAGATATATATATATATATATATATACTTGTACTTTCTTAGCTTATACAGAATAAAAGGTAACTTAACTTTGAATAATATTATTTCTCTTTAATATTTTCATCAATTAAATAGTAACAAAACAAAATTATATGTAATTTCCATTTTGCCACACACATCACTGCTCAACCAACCATAAAGATACAGACAAGACCATCTATAAAAAATTACATAAGTTTAAAGCAGTTATTAGAAAATTGATTCTACAAAATGTTACTTTCACAGGAAATTACTTTTTGAACACCTTATTAACTAATTTGTCTTTGAAGAACAAAATATTTGTAAATACAAAAAAAAATCTGAAGTTTTTTATTAATGACACCTTGTGTAAACTTTACATGTATTATGAAAGTAAGCTAGTTATGATTACCTAGTCAGCCAAGGTCTCAATGACAATAAAAACAACTATGAAATAACTAAAAACACTACAAATTGTTATTTTCCTTGTGTTTGGGTAACAGCAAATTTTCAAAATGCAAAATTCTCATAAATTAAATGATGCATCAGATTTTTTGTGGATTAATTCTAAAACAAAAATATATACATCGATTTAAAAACAGCTAATTAAAATCCATCAAACCACTGTTTAAGTTTGTGCTGCTCTAAAATGTGACATTCTACAAACTGATATAATTGTTTAATATATTTACACCATAATTTAGAGCTTACAGATATAAAAGTAAAAAAATATAATTTGAAAATTTGGAAATAAAGAAAACTGCAAAAATGTTTTTAGGAAAACATTTTCAATTAACCAGAAATATGATGAAACACTACTAACTTTATTCAACTGATTATAAGAAAACTTGTGAAGAACTGTTATGAAATTACTTTTTTTAAATGCTTAAAATATTTTCTTTAAAAATGGATGTTTGAGTTCTTGTTAATTTGTATCTCAGCATGCGTCACAAATAGGAATTTTCAGAAACAAATTCTACATAAATATTTTCATTCAAATATTTTAAATATAAAAGAATACTATATGAACAAAATTAACTATTTTAAACAAGTATTGAAGATAAAAACTTCAAAGTACAAATTACAAAGAAAAAAAGTTGAAGAATTTTTGTTGTTGAAACATTTGCCAGGTAAAAGTGACTGATAAATGTTGGTGGCTCTTTTCTCACCCCCCCCCCCACAATCAATGAAATATATCCTAGTCCTCAACTGTAGAACTCCTATTTCCTTAAACAGGGAGAGCTGTTGCTATAGCAACAAAATCAATACTGTTTCTTCACCATAGCAACCCAATCAATCAAGAACTCCAGTGTGCTATATTTGTAACATAGACAAACACGTGTATGCGCATGAGTTAAAACCCAACTATGTAGCTTGAATTTTATCATGTTATGCTACATTATTATTCTACTGAATGAACTTAATTGTTGTAATTATTGCAAATTCAGAAAAAAATTATAATAATACTTGAAAAACTTCAGTAAGTTTAGTAAGCAGTTAATTCAAATGTTCATGTTAATTACTATCTTTGTGTAAATCTATGACCTTTATATTTCTTTATACCCAAAACACCTATTTTAATTAACTTTAGGGATGTAAGTTACATGCTTAATTTCATAAATTACATCAATAAGTTTAAAAAAAGCTAGATCACAAAGTATTATAATGCTCTAGTATTTGTTTACCATAGAAGCACTCATGGGAAAACATCTTTTAACATACATACAAATACATGAATGTGTGTAGATATGCATGTAATAACTTTACAACAAAGATTTTTAACTTGTATCTCACAAACAACAACTATAACAAACATCACAAGCTAATCCAGAAGAGGGCATTAAAATAGGAAGTAAAAATGTTTATACTTAGTAAAATAAATACGTTATTGCAATTACAGAAGAATAATATTAATTGAAACTTTCCACTTCTTAGAATTATTACCAATCAGTATAGCTAAACTTTATAAATATAATGTAGTTAATGTTGTACATGTAAACATAAAGTATGCATACATATGTCTGTCAATTTTGAAAAATTACATTAAAAAATCTTATTCAAGCATTTCTCTGTAAAATGTAAAATATTTTATTGACCCAACGAGCACAACACAACAAATGTACTTTATATAAAACATCTATACCCATGTTTGTAAAATTGTTAATTTTTAACTATAAGCCTATTTCTCTCTTCATCATCTATATTATAAACAATGCTTTTAAGCAATTTATTTGTTTATGAATTAAGTATGCAGTCAAAGTATAGCTAACAAACAGCAGAATTAAAAGTAAAAATTAAATATAAATAGGCTATAATAAAAATGGTAGATGCACTTTCATACAAAAATTATAACTTGTTGAACAGGATAACTAAATTACAAAATATGAGATGAGACCACAACTTAACAAATATAAGTCAACAATCTATTAAAATGTTACAAATTTTAGCTACATAAAAATCAAATAATAATTACAACTCAATTCTTTGGAGCTCTGCTAAATTTAAGTTTGAACATTTTGTTTTATAATCTCTCTTTGCAAGTTACACTTAATGAATATTAAATTACAAGTGTCAAGCTCTAAAATATTTTTGAATACAAAATTGTTGAAACAGAATTATTATTTTCACTTAAATTTTACAATTGATATACAAGGGTGCACTTGACACCTGAAAGATGTTCAATGATCTGTGCAGCTCATGACTCAACATAAAAGCATGTAAAGTTGGCTTAAACTATTATGAAACACATGAAACATTTTAGTGTATTTTTGTAACTCAGTTTTAACTTGTGTTCATTATTCTTTTGAATATGATTAATTTTATATACATCATGTTACAAGAGATAGGATCACAGCCTGCAAGAGTGTTATTATTAGTTACTAAGAGTATTTGTGCAAAAAAACTATTTGGAACTATGTGAATCAAACATAAAAAAATATTTGGAATAATGTTTCCCCTTTTCACTTGATACTGGTATAACCAACTGATTTAAGTTGCATATTTTTTACTTTTATTTTTCATGTAACCCCGACTGACTGAAAGATAACATTATACTTTTCATTGTACTTACACAGCAAGCCTGAAAATAAAGAATAGCAATTTGTATCAACATTGATACCTGCTAACAATATTAAACTATTGTCAGATTTAATTATACATAAATTAGTGTGTACTTTGTAAAGATTTACTTCAAAAGTTTATTTAGTAATTTTTACTAAAAAATAATAAACATTTAGACAACTAGTATAACACCATCTCAATTTTAACCACAAAGACTTTAGGATATAGAAATATAATATGAATCAAGCTATAAAATAGTGTTTATAATACCCTCTTTCATTAGAGACTAATCTTTTAAAATTATTTTTGCTAATTAATTGTGATTTATCAATCTACCTCTTTTCAACATTTATACTACAAAAGAGAATGCTTTCAGAAATTTATTTGGCTAAGAAGACAAATATGCAATCAAAATATAACCAATAGATAACAGAATTAAAGTAAAAATTGAACTACTACATTATATAAAAGAAATAGTACTCATTGCAGAACACCATGGAAGTTATAATTTGTATGAAAAATATATATGTATACACACACACACACACTTGCACATTTGATTGTATGCAAGTGTTTGTTTTATTGGTAAGCACAAAGTTACACAACGGGCTACCTGTGCCACCATGAGTATTAAAACCTGGTTTT